GGGGGGGGGGGGGGGAGCGCGGCGCGCCGCCCGCCTCTCCCGCTCCTAGTCTGAATGAAATCGGACCGAAAGGAAAAGTGACTTTGCAGCCGGGATTTAAAGGAAGAGAAGTGCGGAGGCGAAGCGGTGGAAGGGGGAGGGCGCGACTCCGATCGGCGCGCTTTTTCGTTGTTCCCCAAGGGGGCGCCCCAGAGAGACGGGAGAGGGCGCGAGCGGCAGGAAAGGGGCAGCTGCCGAGAGGCGCTATGGCGAGGCTTTGGAAAGCGAAGGCAGCGGCTGCCGGGGCGCTCTTACTTTTGCAGTGCTTGGCCGACCGGGTACAGTTCATCGGAGCCGCGACACCGAAGCAGAGTCTCGGTAAGGAAAGAAGCGTGCCCGGGAGATGCTGGTGGCGGAGAAGAGTTTGGGAAGAGGGGAAGATGAGCCCCGGCAAGCGAGAGTCTTCCTGTCGAGGAGCGGAATTTTTGGTTTTTAAGCTTGTGTTTGGGGAAATCATTCCGTATCAGGGGGCTGGGGGCTGCTTAACCAGGTTTGTTTGGGGCGACAGGGTTCGGCCTCAAAGCAGACGCGTAAAAAGGAAACCTTTCTCTCAGCCGGAGGATTCACTTAACGTAACTGGAATACTTTGGAGCGTGTGCAGAGTTCTTTTCTCTTGTTGGATAACAACAGGCAGGCTCTGGCAAGTATGACTAAAGTTATTAGGATGGGGCTGGATACAGAAGCTTCCTGAGGCAGAAGCTAAGAAGTTTCGGGAAAGGCTGAGCTACTGACAGGCTTCTGTCTTGCCTAGTTGATCTCAATCAGGTTCCTTCTGAATCTGGCAGGCTGTCATGGTGGTTGTGATGGAACCACAGCAGGATTGGGCACCTGGGCACTTCCAGGGGATCACTTTGCTTGCCCCTCAGCTGGGTTCCTGTCGCACTCTTTTCTGGATGGTGGAGCTCAAGAACTTTAGGGGACCACTCCATGGTGTGGATGTGGACTTACGTCCTGAGGAAGCTGACCTGAGATGAGGGGAGTTGGATGAGATGGTGCCCATGATGTCTCTGAAGCTACAGGAACAGGGTGATGTTGCCCTGCCTTGGTACAGTGGCAACCTTGGAGCAACTTCTGCAGCTTTTTCTGAGAGGAGGCCGCAAATCGGCACCTGTTGAATTGTTGTCTGCTTGAAAGGCTTTTAGCAACACTGTTCAGGACCATCTTTGCTGGATGTTTAAAGCAATCTCAAGAAACAGCCAAAGGGGTGCTTAGCATTATGTTCAGAGATGGAAAGAGATGTAGCTTTTGGGGAAATAGGTGAACTTCTTGACCGTTTTCCTTTTAGCAGCAATGACCTGCTATTGTCTCTAAGTAATTTTTCTGCTTGTATCTCTTTTCTAAGGGGCGGGGAAGGAGTGGGCTGTTATTAATATTACTAATATTTCTGTGCCGCCCTATTCCGGATTGGATCTGAGTGTTTTGCCAGGCTCTTGATATTTTTATCTAAAACATGTAGTCAGAGGATATTTTTACTAGGATCACCCAATATGTCATCAAGTGTGTCTATCCTTTTTTCTTTTTCATAACCATTGTGTAGTGATTAGAGTGTTGAATGAGAATTGGGAAGATGTTGGTTCAAAGTCTCACTCTGCAGTGAAACTTTCTGGATGACGCACGGCCAGTTGCTGTTGCCTATCCTTCTTTACAGGCTTCTCATGGGAATAAAATTGGGACAGTGTCTTATGTAAGCTGCCTTGTGGTTTATAGGCAAGAGTGGTAAATGAAGTACAATTACAGTTTGGAAGAGGGGAATGTTATTTGTTTCATGGATCAGCATGGCTACATTTGATTTTAAATTGTATTTGTGAAGCGGAAGTTGAATGAATTAACTTTTCCATGTTTTATGTGTTGAGAAGAACATTGTTTATTGAATCTTCTCCTTATCACACAGCCATTTGAGGTACAGGAATTGGATATCCTGCTTGCACTAAGAATCTGGAACCTGATGTTGGAGCCTTCTCCAACCTGATGTTGTTTGACTGCCAGGAGCCATAGTCCGTGCCACTAAAAGACAGGGAAAATAGATGTGATTGTTCAACAACATCTGGATATCATCATGTTGGCTCATTGCAGTTGCAGATCACTTTGCCTGAAGAGCACTAAGTTGGAGAAGGCTGGTTAAAAACAACCAGGTCCCTCCAGATGTAGTGGACTACAAACTCCAGAATTCCAAAGCAACAGGCCTTGCTGGCTTAGAATCCTAGCAGTTGAAGATCTGGCAGGCAGATGGCACGCTAATATTTGCATTCTTAGAACACTATGAATCTTTAATTTCGTTGTGATATTTCTCAGTCTTCTGTTACTACAAGCACATAGCCTCACTGAGAGTGTGAATCTTCACCTTCCTATGATGAAGAAAAAGTGTGTTTCAGAGCGCCTGTTCCTCTTCTCTCTGGCCTGCATTCAGTTCCACATCTTTTTTTTTTTTTTAGCTGCCATTCTCTTGAAGAGGATGAGAAGAGGGTTCATTATCAAACACACAGTCAGAATCTCTTTCTCTTGCTTCCTGTTCTTCTAGGGTGCAAACAAGAGTTTTATTGACTGGTGTAAATATGCAGTGTAGTGGTGTGGTTTCACTCCCCAAGGTTGTACATTCTTTTCAGATAAAGCAATACACTGTTTCCTGCCATTTCATTTCCTTGGCTGGGGGCAGAGGTTTAAGGAAATGGGAAACAAGTTGTAGGAAGATCTGCTGCAAGCTTGATCAAAAAATGTATTTTTCCCTAGCATTTAACCACACAGCTGGTGGGGTGATACACACTCTACAGGAGATTATGCCCTGTGGTCTCATCTTCCTATGTTACTGTGTAACTCTGCAAAGTCTTCCCACATTTATTCGGAAGCAAGCTGTACTGAGTATAGCCAGATTTACTGTCTAATAATTGCATAGGATTGCATTCTTGGTCTGTTGCCAACGAAGGCAACCCAAAAGCTCATGGCATGTTGTAAACAAACAATGTATTGTCGTTTCAATTTTTAGGCTGAATTCCTGCTTTATCAAATGAATGAAATGATAAACTTTAATGGTAGATCATATGTGTATTGCATGCATACACACAAAGAAGGGAAAAAATGGTGGGCAGTGAAAGACCATGAAATTCAAGAGGTACTGCATCCTCCATATACACACCCTAAACATTTAGCTAAATATTAGCTGAGGATGTCTTCATTTTTGGCCCCTTTTTATTTGGCTTTAGGGGTTGAGGAGATTTAAGGGGTAACGTGGGTTCTTTATTGAGCCTTGCAGAGATTTAAGGATGTGTTTTGCTCTTTAAACACTTCTGGAAAAATCATTCTGCTTTTATTTTATGAAACATTTTTTAAGGGTTGAAATGGGTGCTCCGGCTTAACTTGGAGCAAAAACCAGTGCTGGGGATTTTGTGGGCCCATGAGGGTTCAGATTTTGTACCTATATCCAAAATAGATAGTCTAGTTCAGTCATTTTGTGCTGGAATCCCTTGGGAGGGTTTTTTCACCCCCTTTCAGTGAAAAATGTTCATATTCCTCAGCGTTAGGCTGTTTGGGTGTCCGTTTATTTTTTTTCTGTAGAAAGTTATTGGGTCAGTGGAAAAAGAGGGTTGGCAAGTGATGTATATCAGCCTTCCCCAGCGTTTTCACTTTCTAAAACTGTTGGACTACAGTGACACATCATTCTTGGACAACGCAGAAGGCAGTATTTTGAAAAGGCTGGTGACATATATCACACTGGAGAATAAACAGGTGAATATCATCAGACCTCTACACTGTGTGACATTCTTATATCCATTAATATTGACAGCTGCTTTCTCAAGTGGATTTCTCTTTAAGGTTGCTACATTCTGCTCATCCTACCTATGTAATAAACAAGTCCACACAGTATATGCAGAATTTTGCTGGGATTTAAATCTGTCTCCTAAATATAGCATCTGGTCATTCATGCTGAGTATTAAAATATGAAATTAAATATAAGCATGTATGTAGTGCCCTCCATTTCACTCATTCACTCCTGGCCAAGAAGTAGCAAGTTAGCACTGGAAAGTGGTTTCAATCATAATCTCTAAGAACAACAAATCTATATACATGGGGGAGGGGCGGAAAAATCCCCCCCATCATCCAGTCATAAAGTATCTGCAATTCCAAAGCGCCCCAAATATGTGCTTTCAGTCAGATTTTAAAAGGAAAAAAACCCTCTCTTCCTTGGTGTTTGCTTTATTCAAGCTAAACTGCAAGTTAATATTTGGCTGAAGATCACTTGCTTGTTAGAAGCTGAGGATGGCTTTGATCACGTGATATGGTTGCATTGTTGGAAACTAAGGAGGGCTGAGACAAGTCAACACGTGGCTGGCAGATTGCTGGAAAGCTGCTCTGAGCTTCCCAAATGCAAAGAAAGCGAAGAGGCATCTAATAAATAAATTAGAATAGTTCAGCAATTGAATAAGATGTTTAGGAATACTGTTGAATCAAGGGTTTTCATGTAATTGCTAGGCAGAAATTAAGTAACAAGTTTCTGTCTTCTATAGTAAGGATTCTACAGATATTTCCGGTCTTGGTACAACAGATAAATTGTAATATTTTAAGTACCAGTCTTGCTGCTTGGTTGTCTGCTTTTACAGGTGATTGTATTCCTTCAACTTCATTAATATATGAAAGTGAAAGACTGTAAAGTTCAGCAATTACAAAGGGGCTGCATTTATACAACACGGTAAATCAGAAGGTGGCTTGTTTGTAGCTTAGGCTCTGACCACAAGTAAACTGCTGTATGACATGTGAATCAATTCATTATGATTAAACTACAGGATTTTAACCATAGTGACATGTGAATCAATTCATTATGATTAAACTACAGGATTTTAACCATAGTTAAAACATTTTTGCTGGTAGCATGCTGGGTAAACTCAGTCTTTATGTGGGCACTGATACTCGTATTACATGGAATAGCACATTTGGAAGGTGAACATTGCATAAGGTAAATTGTAAATTTGAACCAATCCAGTTGGATTTGCAATTCAAATTGTGCAATTGATTCAACTTGAAGATTCCATTTGGTAAGAGTCGCACACGCTCAAAAGTCCATTTCATTGGTCTCAAGACTGTTGCACCAAATCAGTCCAAAAATTTATTTGAACATGTTCTGAATTTTACAGCATTCAAATTTAAATTTTACAGCATTTAAGCTAAAGATGAGCTGCGGAGGCCACCCATTCAATCCATGATTTTGCTGGGATTTGATTGCATATCTCCTGCACCTGTCATGCCACATCCATATTTTTCATCTCTTCAAAAGCCATATTGGGCTCAGATTGCAAAATAATAATAGCTTACTTTATGCCTCCTTGTGT